GGCATTACCAAATATAATATATATGTATATATACATAATATATATCTTTATATATATCTATATATATGTATATATATATATATATATATATTGTACACTTATAAAAGAAAATACACATGAAAATACTATATATATATCAATAATAAGTATAAGATCTCATAAATATAAGGAAATACTAGATATATATATATATATATATAAAGTTAAACCTTTTATAAAAATACGTATATACAGTTAAACCTTTTATAAAAATATATATATATATATACATACATATATATATATATATATTTAGTATTTTCTATTACTTATGAGATTACAATAAAAATTAAAAAACAACCGCAAAGTTAAACTTTTTATAATAAAATGGATTTTCAAGAACTCATAAAACCAAGTGGTTTTTTTTTAAAAAAAATTTGTTCTTCCAGGATAAGGCAAAACATACCCGGGAAGTGCAGACGGCATATATCCCGATGATGCAGGCGGCGCGGGAACGTAACCTGGTGGTGCAGGCGGCATGGGAACGTAACCTGGTGGTGCAGACGGGATGGGCACGTAACCTGGTAGTGCAGGCGGCATGGGCACGTAACCTGGTGGTGCAGGCGGCATGGGCACGTAACCTGGTTGTGCAGGCGGCACGGGCACGACGTAACTTTGTTGTGCAGGCGATGCTGATGTATATTCTGAAGGAGCAAACATGTATGGCGGCGGAATGGTCGGTATGGACATCGCCGTTCTTGATGATGAAGTCAACGCCTTAGTGACTGCTTCTCCTATTTGTTTATTTAATTTTTCGCGACCGACCGCCTCGCGCACCGCATTATTAATTCGCTGAAAAAAATACAATTATTATTAAAAACTTAACAGGTTACAGCGCGTATGTATTTAGTAAGCTACTGATAGTCACTTTATTTACTTGTGTAAGGTATTATGAGATAAGAAGTTAGTAAGTAAAGAAGTATATAAAACAAAGTGTAAAGATAATGTAACTATATAAAGATCAATAAACTAAAATAAATATATGTGTATATGAAGATCAATAAGAAAAAATAAATAAATGTCCGAGCGTGTGTGAGACTGTGTGACTGTGTAAGTAAAATAACCATAATAAATTTGTGTGAATAAATGAGTCTGTGATAGAGCTAAATGCAGAATAAGAGAGTGAGTGATTGAGAGAAACAAAAGAGAGAGAAAGAGAAAGATAAAATTGATAGGATAAAATAGATAAAAAAACCAACATAAGTGTGTATATATATCACTCTCTCATGATATATATCACAGCAAAAAGTGTAAATAAACAAATGAGTGAGTAAGAAAGTGCTGCCAATTAGTGAATGACTACAAAAAGTAAGAGAACAAGAGAGAGAGAAGAAGAGACAGACAGAGAGACAGAAATAAATAGAAAAAGTGTTATAAAAAATTGTATGAGTGAATGAGTGACTAGAAAGATAATGCAATGAGTTAGTAAAAGAGATATATATGTACATACTTTAAAAAGTTTCTCATCTGTTTATATATACATATACATACATATCTCTCTCACTTACTCATAACATTATTTTTCTAGTTACTTATTCACTCATACATTTTTTCATAACACTATCTATTTATCTCTGTCTGTCTGTCTGTCTCTGTCTCTCTCACTCTCTATCTCTCTCTCACTCCTTCGTTGCGTAACCTTCCTACTCAATCAATCATTAACATTTTATGCTTTTTTTTATCTAGCTGCAATGAATAAGTGAGCAAGAGAGAGAGAGATAACTAGATAAAAAAAGCATAAAATGTTAATGACTAATTGAGTAGGAATGTAAAGCAATGAATGAGTGAGAGAGAGAGTAAGATAGCTAGATAAAAAAAGCATAAAATGTTTTTGAATAACTGAGTAGGAATGTAATGCAATGAATGAGTGAGAGAGAGAGAAAGAGAGAGAGATAGCTAGTTACATAAAAAAGGCATAAAATGTTTATGAATGATTTAGTAGGAAGTTTATGCAATGAATGAGTGAGAGAAAGAGAGAGAGACTTACAGAGAGACAGAGATAAATAGAAAAAGTGTTAAAAA